AAAAATAGTTTTATATATATATATTTAAATGTCTATCGGGTTTATAACTACTAGTTTTTTACTACAGTGTTTTTACCACTCCGCTAAATAGTAACGTGTATTTGTTCATCTGAACAACATTCTATGTATATAAAGGATTAAACGCCAGGTCAGAGACTTTCAGTTCAGGTATAACCGTCTTAATTTTGAATTGCAGACCAGAGGTGAGGAACCAGTAGGCAGCACCCACCACCTAAAGAGGCTACTTTTAATTAAATAACGAGAGTAACTGCTACTCTTATAACACACTCACAGCTGAAAGTGTGAAGCGCATTTGGTTATCGTCTCGAACTCAAGACCCTTAGATCCCCAGTTCGATATGTTAACCACCAGGCCACGCCCGGACCACATCAACTTTACATTTTACATGCTTATTTCACAAATGTAATACTGCTCTCACAGCTGAAAATGATGAGCGAATTCAACAGTAAATAACTGCTCTAACGGTGGACCTACAGATCCGCAGCCTGGAACGCTAATTACTCGATCTGATATTAATATTTGGTCACACAATATGACAAGACAAAATGTAAAACATAACTCATGTTCACTTTATAACAAAACATTAAACCTTACATATTCTAGTCATCGCTTCGTTAGTCTCCTTTCAGTAGTGGCTGTCGAAAGGCGTTTTGCTAGTTTTTAATGTATTTTAGCACCTAATCAATTACATTAATAAACTATTGTATTCTACTATTTCCTCAAATGATACAAGAAATAACAAAGAATATCATTGAAATAAATAAATTTTTAAAATTCTTGAGGTTACAGAGGACGGCTACTTGAAAACAATTTACAGAGAAATAAAAATTAAAAGTGCAGCAAAAATTCTGCTTTAACTTTGTACTAATAATTGACAAAGATACTGGTTTATTTTTGTGCTAATAGTTTATATATATATGCTGATTTTTATATACAATTAAAAGGAGTACAATGCTAAAATAATTACACAATAAAGTATTTATTAAAAACAGGGATCAGTCCTAAAAAGACTTTACACATGTCGGTGTTCTTATGCCACCATCTTCGGAAATAAAAGTGAAATTTGATCAAGACTTATATAACTACATAATTCTTTACATACCTTTGTCGCCATCTAGACTTAAATACCTATAGTTTATAAAACTACTTCTTCTAAACCTGGACCAACTTATTTGTTCATCATAATTTATAGTGTTTCCCTGACTTCAACTCTACCTGATTTATCAGTTTAACATTACTCCAGTCCGTAACATGAGATGTGCCTGACACAAGTTCTTCTAAGGCACATCCGTTCACTTTATATTTTTCGACTTCATTTTTATGTTCTTTGATCCTAAGTTTCAAATTTCTGCACGTTTCGCCAATGTAAACTCGACCACAGATAGAAGGAATTTTATAAATCCCAAGTTTATCCACTTCTTCTATTCTATCGTTTATACCCGTCAGAAAATTATTTAGTTTACAACGTGGAGAAAATGTTACACTACATTCTATATATATTTTGATTATGTTGCCTATTCTTGTTGACAAACCTTGACATATGGGACACAAGCCCTCATGTTATTAACTTTAACCTCTTCCTTTAACTTTGTACATGATGAAATTTTTAATTTATCGCTATTTTTACTGTACAATCTAGCAATGATTTCGGGATTATATCCTTTATCTCCAGCTACATATTTCAAGAACTCTTATCTTAAATCAAATGCGGAAAAGGCGGATAGTATTTGTGCCCATGGGTGACATTCTATGTAATATTTGTGTCCGTGAGTGACAAGATCTATTGTGTGGTGGAACATCCACAGAAAACGGTTTTCTGTAAACAGACGTCCTATATCCCGTCTAACGGTCATGTCTAAGAGATTTAACTATCCATCTTTTTCCGTCTTAAGTTGTAAATCTAACAGTAGGACTGATCGAACTGAGATGTCTTACAAACAGCATTAATGTGTCAACGTCACTCCGCCACACCAAAAACGTGTCATCTACTCACCTTAACCACATAAAAGTTTCACTTCAGAAGTATTAAACATATTCATTTGGAACTTGAACATCAATAACTCGAATAAAATGGGAGAGATAGAGGAAACCCAAGCTCAACCTTTAATCTGTTTAAAGAATTTGTTCCCTATCTTAAAGTATCCATGGGTCAGCTTCAAGTTTCCATTCACTTCTAACAGGGAAAACTTCTTGCTCTCTAATAATCTATTTTCAAGACAATGCAATGCCTCTTTGACTGTAACATTCGAGAACAGCGAAACAATGTCAAAATAGGCTAGTTTATCTGATGATTTCAAACTTATCCCAGTGATTTTGTTTAACAAAATCAAACGAATTTTCTACAGCGTATTTATGAGAATTAGTTAAACACGAACATTTCTAACAAATAAATTTTTGCCAAAGGATGGATGGCACGATGAGCCCCTATCATCCACAATTGGACAAACGATGGTACCAACTTTATGGAAAAACCTGGATAAAATAAACCTTGAGGGAAAGAGATCCTTCCTTTCTTTCGGTATCAAAATAACACAATTTTTGACTGCACTTTTTAACCTGTTTTGAACCAATATGGTGGAGTCGCTTTTTACTTCTTCATGAGAACCATACTCTAACAATTCCTTAATTACAAGCTATCTTATCCAGAATTACAACTTGACCTCCTTTTATTGCCTTGTTCTTTAGTGCACGTAGCTATTCTACTTAAATAAAGTTTAGTTTACCCTTCTGGTTCAATAATTCATTGACTACTTCTGTTCTAACTGTATGTTTCATCCTATCATCAACTTCTAGTCATGTGGTTGAATTTACATTGGTCAAACGTACAGAAATTTGAAACTTAGGATCAAAGAACATAAAAATGAAGTCGAAAAATATAAAGTGAACGGATGTGCCTTAGAAGAACTTGTGTCAGGCACATCTCATGTTACGGACTGGAGTAATGTTAAACTGATAAATCAGGTAGAGTTGAAGTCAGGGAAACACTATAATTTATGATGAAAAAATAAGTTGGTCCAGGTTTAGAAGAAGTAGTTTTATAAACTATAGGTATTTAAGTCTAGATGGCGACAAAGGTATGTAAAGAATTATGTAGTTATATAAGTCTTGATCAAATTTCACTTCTATTCCCGAAGATGGTGGCATAAGAACACCGACATGTTTGGAGTCTTTTTAGGGCTGATCCCTGTTTTGAATAAATTATTTATTGTGAAATTATTTTAGCGTTGTACTCCTTTTAATTA